AGAAATATTCAAATTTGGAGAATTTTCTATAACTTAGGTGCCATTTACCAAACGTTTTGCTTACCAATTCACTTTACTTTACCGGATGAATATGACAATGACTAAAAATCTTACCCGGTTAGAGCAAAAGTAAGAATCGAGAGTCTTACCTGGTAAGTGAGGACGAGTACTCTTACCATGGTTAGCACTTATCGGGATAAATTGTTGCATACGATGCGTCTTAGTGAATAAAATCTTACACGATAAGGCGATAGTGTTGAATTTTATTGGTAAGTGCTTACCGGGTAAGTGTTTAGGTAAACAGCCCCTAAATATTGAGAAGAGATATATTATTCTGATTGTCTTTACCAATAAGGTTGAATGTGTTATATATTTTTATAAAGTTTAAAAAAAAATACATTTGGATGATAAGTTTATTTAAGTATTTTAATAAATGTAAATAACGTGGAAAATACTAAAATAAAATAGTTGCTGGAATTGGATTTAATTTTTTTATTTTTTTTATTTTTAATACTTTATTTTAGAAAAACTATAACATGGGGATGTTGTAAAATAATATTTTGGCAACCATTTCAAGTATTCGAGCTTTTGAAATTTATGTAAAGGCTCGTAAACTTTATGAAGTTACGTTTTGGCCGTGAATTTAAGATTTTGTGACATTTTAGTCACTATTTAACTGCAAAATGTATAAAATTTATGTTTCTGCCAAGATAATTTATCTTTAATTGAGTACAATGTATTTTTTTTAATCGTTTCTAATTTCTAGAATACATATTATGGATGTAATTTGGAATATATTGTGGAATTTTTATATGATGATACGAAATGGTCGATCTGAATGATGGATGGGGAAAGTTTTCGATGTTGTCAGTTTGAAGAAACTTGTAATGAAACGGAGGAAATAAGATGATTAAATACAGAGTAAACTATATTTTTGGTCAATGTGGTTTGTTAACAATAATCACTTTTGTTTTTCTGTTTTTGAAATTACGGTTTTCATCCCTATGAATGGTGATTAATTGATAGTTTGCCTTTCAAGCTAATCTGTTAGTAGTTTACCGTTAAGTATGATGAACTAAAACAACAATCGAATGGTTAAGATTTGTTGAGATGCTCAATAGATTATTATCGATGGTGTAAAGTAATATCAGTGTCAAGATACTCAAAAGATTATTATCGTTAACACGCAGACATTCTTAAAATATGAGGAGGCTCGATATAAGTTAAGCATGAAGATAGACGTCTTCTTTCGTTTTTGGACATCGAGTAAAACCAAGTTCATGGGTTTATTATCTTGAATCTGAACAGATTCATAAGATCTTTTTTTTTACCTCCCTATACCCTTTTATGTGGCTAAAAAAGGGTAAAAAGAAAAGAGATGACATGATCTCTCTCATTTTTGCTAAACAGTGAGCCTTTAGTTGATGTTCTATGACGGGTTATTTGATATAACTTGTTATGGAACCTCAACTAAAGGCTTCGAATAAAACTTATGCATACTTCTCATATTTGGCAAGACTTGAACTACTATAAGAGGTTGTTTGGCAATTGTTGAATGATTTGGTACATAATAATTAAGTGGTCAGAATCATTAAGAGGCTCTCATGATATAATGCAAAATGAAATATAATTGTTCGGTAATTATGTACAATGAAATTAGGGCTCTTAATGGTTATGAGAGATCCAGAATACAAAATCATTCAGAGAGTTTTAGAACCATTAAGAGACAAACTTTTTTTTTGCCAAACAAGATTCACTTCTTAACGATTCAGAGGTTGCCTCTTAATTGAACTATTAAGAGGTAAACAAACAACCCCTAAGAAAGTGGGGTTATCGAGCATCGTTGGACATGTCATTAGTATGTTCTCTTGATCCACTTCATATCCTCATAAAAACAAATTTTTGTGTCCAACCTGTCTTTATTTTGCAAGTTCAGTTATGTCTGTAAACAGATGTCATATACATGGATAAAACAGTTAAAACTTTCACTGTTTTTATCATTAAATAAAATAGAATTTGGAAGGTGTGAATTAAATATGTTTAGGTATTGAATTTATGTCTTGGTCATAATGCATGTGATGAAGACCTCAAGTGTACAACTTGAATTGTAACATGTTCTTGGTGTCTTTCTCTATCACCATGGTTGTAGCATTTAATGTCATTCCCCCTTTTCTATCCAATTTGGTAATACCCTTTTATTATTTTAATCGTTTTTATTTAATTAATAATAAAACGAACGAGTACAGATATATATATTTCATCGAGCTCGATTTTTTGGAAGGACAAAGAATGTGCAAATTGTTTTCATGTATCTTTCGTTTTATAAGAACAGACGATGATAGTTATATATTAGACCAAATTAAAATGTTATATTTTTTGACAGGTTATTAGACGTTTATAATTTTTCAATTTGCCAGATAAATAAATAAAAAGATTTATCGATCAGACACTTATACTTTATCACATAATTTTTGTTTAGTTTTAATGTTGGGGCAGGTTTTGTAATCCCCGACTCCGACCCCGGTATTTAGTAACATCCCTCGGCCCCCTGCAGGTACGGTAATTAACATTTCGTCCCCGGTCAAACTCCTGTCAAACCCCATGAACAATATCTGTTAGTTTGAGTCTACCAGGGATCCTCGGCCCTAGCCCCAACCCCGGTTTAAGTAATAGCCCCCGGCCCTGGTTTGAGTCTATCAGATATCCCCGGCCCTGGGACCCGTTTTAGCGGGAAATCCTCATCCCTATTTGGATCGGATAAGTCGGGTTCCCCACTGGGTCGGGACAAATCATCGTCCTTAAAAAAAGGTAATGTTATAAGTGGTTAGACATTGATTATTAAAGAATACATATTCAATGAATGGATATTTTTGTTATATAATTCCACTCAAAAGTCATACAAGTTCAACTACATTTTCATTTATTTTATTAATATTTTGAAATTTTCAAGCAAAAATCTAAGGGAAAATGTGTGGTTATTAATAAAATATTTCTAAAAACAATACTAAAACATAATAAGTCAAAATAGATGTAACAAATATTTAATAAAAAGACAGTCTGATCATTTTTTATTTGTTAAAGAATAAAAAAACAAATTTTCGATGAGTCAATCATAACCCCCTCCTCTTCCCTCGTATGACTGCCAACGCCATCCCCGTTTGATCTCTGCCCCCAACTATATTCCTTCGCTAACTGCACCCTCATCGAGGCCCAGCTCCAGTGAACTCCAACCACTAGTCCACGACTTTTATTGTCCTTGTGTCGACTACATCGTTCACATGCAAGAAAGGAAGGGATCATAGTGGGGTCTGGGTTTTGGAGACCCGTCAAATCCTCCATGGATGATTTATCAGGTTTCTTTGAGTTTGATTTGTGTGGGTTTCAGATACCTTATGAAGTTGAGGTTTAAATCAAGGGAGAGGCAATAGGGTGGCCGAGAGGTTCTAGACAATGAGAGGGATGATGATATTGGGGACCAGACACATACGGAAGACGACGTCTCTCGTGTAATATAATATAATATAATATAATATAATATAATATAATATAATATAATATAATATAATATAATATAATATAATATAATATAATATAATATACATCTTAGCTTTTCTAATAGAAAAGGAAAATGAGTGAAAAGATAAATACACCTGGTAAAACGATTAACAGAAGCTTTGAATGGAGTTAGTGGCAGGAAAAGATATAAATCACCCCACCCTTTTCCCATAATTAGTTCATTTTGAAGACTCGTAATGTTAAAACTTGTAAACCGCATGGACCAAACATGTACTTCTTCCTCTGTTCCAAAATAAGTGTTCATAATTAAAATCACATACAATTGTTTTTTTATTAATCTGAATATCCAATCCGTTATGCGAGCTGACTAATCCCAAGACGACCACCTGCTTTACAGATAGCCCGGAGTCACTTCATTTGAACCTCCGTGGCCACAAAGGGATTTTTATTCCTCCTTGGATTTGAACCTGAGACCTCCTGGTACTTTTGACCTTTGAAGCAAGCTCAAACCAATCAGACACCACCCTTCTGGTTTAAAATCACATACAATTTTAAACATACATAATTATTACATTTTTTATCAACCAAATTACTTATTTACCCTTGTTTAATCTTTCTATTCACAACTTTTAAATATTGGTACATTATTTAAAGGCTAAATTTGAGAAACATAAATATTTGTGCATTATCTATTTTTGAAACTTTACATTTAGTTTGGGACAAACATAAATAAAAATGTGGACACTTATTTTCAGACGGAAGTAGTATTTGACTCGTATATAGTTATATTAATGTTTATCAAAATAATGCTCCAAAACAAATAACTCAATAAAATTGTTTAAATATTAATAAAATATTTGAAATACATCTCAAATTATATATTACTCTATATTTAATGACAAAAAAGGACGTAAGTTTTAATGATCTTATTCGTTTTGATTGTATTAGAGAGGGAATTACGTATTTATGATTTATTTTTAGTTGAGTTAGTACTAATAGTATACACTTTAGACGATAACAAATGGTCTTTGACCTAGCGGTATGTGAGTCTTTGGCCTCCTATAAAGTCAGAAGTTTAAATCTCACTAAAGGTAAAAATGGTGTGTGAGTTTATTTGTTCTATTTGCTATATATAAAATATTATATTGCAAACCACCGGATGCAAAGGCCAAACAGTAACAAAATAAATTCCAGCAACACCAAAACTGTAATAAATTTGTGAATACTGATTACAAATAACAAAATTATATTTATCTTAAAATATTTCTTTTTAAATTCCTTGTAAATTGTAGCTTTTTTATCTAACAGAAATGACTTTGAAATTAACTGGTCTATCAAAGTTCAAACTCCGAGACTTCAAACCCCAAATGATACGACGAACACTAGCAAATGTGTAAATCTATGGCTACCAATGATGTGATCACCACTTCTGTAAGCGTAAAACGGTAAAAGTGATGATGAACTTCACTGATGACAGCTATGAGTTTGAAATCAAACCAGAGATGAGATATAATAGTAGATCAATCAATAAAGGATATAGAGCCAACACAAACAGATCTCCACAGTTTCGACTTTCAACTGAGCCAAAAATATATTTAGAATTAATGTTGAAATCAACACTAGAGCTAAATCAATCAACAAATCAATTTCATAGAATTCCGAAAATCAGATCAGGAGGCTTCGATGTCAATGTGTAATTGAATTCCGCAAATCTCTCTAATACTTCTAATCAGTGGTAAGATTTAAGAATGGCGCCACAGAAAGTACACATAACAGCTCTCCACGATTTCCAGTAGAACGGAACATGGCAGAACCTGGTGGCCGTCTTCATATCCGCGACGCTTGCTCCGCCTCCACATCTAGAACAAAGTCCGGCCGCCGGTTTGCTCCGCCTCACTTGACGAGTTTGATCCACCAAAAAGCAAAAGCAAACCATTTCTTCTCCTTGATTTTGAAGTTTCTGTGACTGAATGGGATCTCCGGTGCGGTGGCGGTGAAGAGAAGAGAGTGAAAATTTGTGAAGTAGTTGGGAATTGAAGATTCCGTGAAAAAGTAGGGTACAACGGTTGGGGTATATATAGGCCTCAGCCTCAAGCTCCACCTTCGTGAATATATGGGCGCCAATCGTTGTTCTGTTGGTACAACATTTCAAAGCATAACGTACAACTCAAGATTAACTCATACATTCTCTTTTTGGATTTAATTCTTTTATTTAATTAATATCATAAAAATATTTATATAAATTTTAAAAAGAAAATATGAGAAATTGTTTAAACAATAAGTCATGGACGTTGACTTTTTGAAACATATGGTCATAAATAGGACCGATTTACAGTGGGAATTTCCAACTGTTTTGAATAAGAGAAGTCAACTGATCCTGAACGTACATGTGGCAGATGATTGTTCTTGCATTTACATTCGGAAGCCAAGTCAAACATTCGCAGTATGGAGTGCCAGTATTTCTATTTCTATTTCATGGGTATGGAGCTATTCCGGTTGGGTAATTGGTTAACGGGTTGACCCGTTTTTTTAAATATCAAAATAGTATATTCACTTTTTGATCACGATTTAACAAAATCTTGACTTGTTGACCAAAGTTAAAGTTTGAATGTCCATTTCAGACCCGTAGTTATTTTGAAAACAGGCAAACTAAGGTGACGTTTGTTTTTTTTAAGAGATGCTGAAGTTTGAAATCTTATTTCATTTCTAATTAATAAAAGATGATACTGAAGTTTGAAATCGGAATCAAGTTTGTTATTATAAACTGACAAATGTCTGAAGTCTGAAATCTGAATAAATAGTTTGTTTTTGTAAAATCAGATGCAGGCATTTTGCAAAATTCTCTTGATTTTCATAAATTTTTCATTGTCGAAATTAATCTCAACAATTGTTAACAGATGAAACACAATAAAAATCTTTCGGATACCTTTAAGACTGCCGATGCTATTGGAAATGTTGCTGTTAGTTTGTTTGAGAAAAGATCGATACTTTTGATAGAAAATAGATCGTTGACAGAAGTTCTTGTTTAACATTAATTTTATAAGCTAACCTATACATAAATAAATTATATACATATATACACACGCACATATATAGAGAGAAGAAGGTAGGGGGGTGCATTTTACGTAGGTAAGGTCTGCATACATTTTACCCTTCCAAATCGTACATTTGAATGGGATATAAATCGGGTCTCTTTAGTTTGGTGATCACATAAGCATTCATTGTCCCAATTGTTGGACAGTTTTCTGCAAAAAATAGTATGAAGAAAAAACTAGGAGCTAGTTATGCTTGATGCATAATGAATAAACTTCGTTTGCCGGTTTAAAATCCTCTATAAGAAGTGTCGTTTTCAGTCTACGTTATCCGTTTCAGAATGCTGCCATCATAGTCGACTTTGCAGCCTCGCGCTTCATCTCTGCTGCTTTCCCGCTGCCCCGGAAATACATGTAAACTTGCTGCAAATCATGTGAAACATGAGGTAAAGAAACGCATAAATGGAAACAAGAACGTGTTAAAACGAATACGAAACCGAATCTAAATCTGTAGAACCTGAATGACCCAAATGCTCATCACTGATTCAATAGCAAAGAATGCAAATCCAATGAAGTAAAAGATCTGCATGTTGAGCACAGATAAATGGTCTTAAACTCAATCAAACAAACAAAACTAAAAGAACCCCATGAACTTATAGCACGGTGTTCTGAAAAACTTACCCCAACGAAAGCATTAGAAGTAACCACATCAAGAGCCGGCAAAATTCCGCTATTACGTGTAAACGAGACGAGCATTAGCTTCACAATTGTAATCCAATTGAAACGAAACTCACGGTTACCAAACCCCTTTTTCATTCTATTAAAGTTTATTACCAAAAGGCTTACTATCCCGGAACGCTCATGTATATTGTTTGACATGTAACGTTTTCAGCCAAATTTTTTTACCAAAAACATTAATAGAAGAATGGAGTTGAATACATTTGTCAAGTCGGTTAAAGTTCTCGCACTATTTATGTTAAAGAGCATGAAGGGATATCGATTTCAAGTGATGGCTGAACCTTTAGTAAAAGAACAAGAAACTTACGTGAGAGATTTTCCTTTAAAGATGATAGGAGGAGCAACCGCAGCAAATACACAAAATGCGATATGAAACTGCAAGAAGAATAGATTCGATATCTTATGCCAACAAATCTATTTGCAGAGCTGCAAACAAGGTTTCGAGGACGGAGCTTACCATGTAAGACAAAAAAAACCATCCGAACTTTATAGCGCTATCAGTTCTATCAAGAAAACAACAAAAAAATTAGAAACTAACTAAAAACAATTACTCCATCCAAAAACATAAATTCAACATTTGACTTTTTGGTGAAGCGGTATGTTTTTTGCAATCTGGGGGTCTTTTCGGGAATAACCTCTCTGACTCTTGAGACAGAGGAAAAGTCTGCGTACATCTTACCTCCAAAACCCTATTTCCGGGTTGAAGATATTGGGTTTGTTTGGTTTTGGTTTGGCAAAGCGGTATGTTTACTATTTCAATCAAAAACGCTATCATTAACTCTGACGGGTATCTCAACCGGTAAGATCTTGGATTTGCTTCCCAGCGATCACATGTTCAACCTGACTGTTATCAGGGGCCCATGAGATTATTAGAGTTTCGTTTTTTTTTAATTTATTAATACTAAAATACATTTATTACACTAAAAACCTGTTAAACATCGCATGTACTTTGGAACAATAGAAGATTTTTATGAAGCTAAATGATTAATACCTTGTAGCACGGTATAAAGGACGATACCACAATACATAAGCCCCGGGGACTCCTGATATCAGATAGATGACAGCAAGAAACCAAATTGTTGGACCTGAAAAAAAGGGTAAGATTGTAACAATGGCACATTAAAGGCACAAACCAAGCTGTGAAATTACTAAACTAACCTTCCCCTTTTATCCAGGCGATAGTCACTGCTACAAGATTCCATGTAAGGCACAGTACAATACCTGCAAAGCATCACTTCTCCTTTAATTTGAATCTAATTCAAAAGAATGTTTCATAACCAGTAAATGGAAAATCAACCTTTAGTAAAGCATGAAACCCAACAAAATTATGATATATTGCAACTATTTACATTAAGGTGCTGTTTGGTTGTTTTTGCATTAAGCCTTGTATGGATTGAGTGTGGATTAAGCTAAATTGGTGTTTGTTTGTTGAGCTGAATAAACTGTCTGAATGACATAAATTACCATTTTGCCTTTTTGTTCAATTAAGTGCTAAATAGAACACACTTGTATACAAGAATATAATGACAACATTTCAACGTTATTAATGTACTCTTTTACCAAACTATGAGCCAAGTCATATACTGGGAGGGGTCTAACTAAAAAAGTTATGTAAGAATAAAGGAAGGATGAGATCACATTTACATACCTAAAAAAGTTGTGAAAGCAACATATTGTACTTTCTGTAGATGGATAGGGATTTCGTTTGTGATGTCGTGATGAATAATAGGGAAAAATGGTGGCCAATTTTTTTCCTCGAGAACAATTCCAGCTGCAAGAATATCATTAAGAAATGTTACTGCGTTATGCTACCATATATAGATATAAAGAAAATTTTCTATATAAACAAATGAATTACATCGTGTGATAGCATCCTCCTTCCTCTTTACCTCCTGTATGTATACAAAGAATTATGTGAACAATGATGACATACTTATAAGTGTGAGAAGCAAAAACACATCATGATTAGCAACAGTGTATGCACATTAATAGAAGACGAAGAACACAATAATGTAAATATTTCTTTCTTTCTAGAATATTCATTTTGTGGGTCTCATTATATATGGTGTGAGAAGGATTGAAAATTTAAATGGTTACTGTTTAATTGATGGGAGGACAAATGAAGACGGATTCAGAAATATGGAGAACGGAGAAAATGGTATAATTGAATGGAATCTAAAAATTAGTAAGGCATTGCAACTAAAACGTTGTAGCACATGCGTACACACCCACATACATATATACATACACACAGAGGATCAAACAGGAAGTTGATCAATGTGCAAGAAGGTGAGAAGTTCAAAAGATCATATATAATTACATGTAATACGAACATTTAATCATATATGATTAAACCCATCCAAAGGGACATGGGCGAGTTAGTGTACGCAACCAAAGGTCGAGAGGAAGGTCGTCCGTGATGTGACTATTGATGCAACATGCGCTTAACCATACATGATTAAGTGTGCGTAAAACGTGTAATCATATATGACCTTGGAACTTCTCACCTTCTAGCCAATTGACGGCATTCTCATTTGAACCTAACCCTATATATACATAATATAGTGGGAAGTTCAAATAAGAAGGCTAAATATCATCAGAATGTAAGAAATGAAGGTTCATATATGTGAATCATGGGAAAATCCTTTTTAAGATGCATATGTGAACCATATGAATAATAAGTCAGTTCACATATGCATCTTGAAATAGATTTTTTTTCCCGAGTTTTTCAATAATACAACATATTAACTTTCCCTTAACCTCCAGTTCTTACCTTCTCACAATATTTAGCCTTTTCATTTAAACTGACCCCTACATATATACTAGAAGGGTACTCACACAATGCAGCGAGATGTATCTCAATTTTAATGTTTCGTTTTATCCTGTCTTTGTCGATGTTATAATACGGTTTTATGTGGTTTTGAGAAATCGATAATGTTCTTATTTTTGAATAAAACATAAATTTGAAGATATCATAAAAAATTTTAAAAAATATAAAAGTTCTAGTTTTTTGTGTAATTTCTTTAATTCAATTTTTTATTATTAGGTTCAATAACGAAGTAATTTAATTTTGATTTAATAATATAATTTTTTTATAAAGATAATAATTAAGTACTCCGTTAGAACTCAATGATTATCCTAATTATATTTTAGATTTTTTTATATTTAAAATGAGAAGTTTATCTTGTATTTGATTATCTTTATCTACAGTTAGTTACATTAATTCAAATATGAAGATTTAATAAGTGGTACTTATGAACAATTTACTTGTAATCTTGAATTTTAAGTAATATGCATCAATAAACAGTACATCATGCATAAAAAATGGTTTTTAAGAGTTTGTCAAATGCTTTATGATATAGTATAGATATATAGGTGGAGGTTCAAACGAGAACACATCCATTTTACAAAAAAGCAAGAACACCCTTATCACATGTGATAATACTCGTGAGGGGACCCGGTGGTGTGTGGACGACGTGTCCTTCGACGACTTAGGTCGTGCCAAAGGTCGTTTGCGTCTATGACTTTAGTATCACATGTGATTGATTATAGTACCACATCAAGAACACCCTTATCACATGTGATAATACACGTGAGGGGGTTTAGTGGTGTAAGGGCGACTTGACTCGCAACCTAGATCGTGCCAAAAGTCGTCCTTATCTCTGACTTAGTATCACATTTGTATCATATGTGATGGAACATATTAAAAGGGTGTTCTCGCATTCTCGTAAAATAAAGGTGTTCTTGTTTGAACCCTTCCCTATATATATTATATTTATTCTTAAATACAAGATGAAAGAACAAGCACCTGTTCTCTCCTTTTCAGTTCAGCCTCTTTGGCTTGGAGTTCCTTCTGCTTGGTTCTAAAATCCTAGATCCATACAAAGTAAAATCAAATATGATTGACCTAGCAGACAATCTAGTGGATAAACATTATCTTATAACCAATCAATAACATAATCTTACCTGAGCACTGTCAAGAGGGATATCAACGGTCGCACCACGACCATAGCCAGCAGGTTCTGGGGGAAGTGGTGACAGACTTGAAGTTGCAGGAGGAACACTTCCAGGAGTCTAATAATTCCATTATTAAAAGTAGAATTCTAAGAAATGTACAAATAAATGTAAATAGGCACCGACCATAGTAAATACCTTTATTAATACAAATAACTTATCTACTAATACAAACACAAAGGGAACATCCAAAAACTTGTCCACAACTTCATATTTTATAACATCAAGAAGAATAACAAGAAAATTTAGTGAAAAAAAGTAAACCATCACAATGGTTTTTGAGATATATACTTATATTACTTCAGAACCTCGCAACCACTTCCTTTAATGTCAAATTAATGAAGAAATAGAAGCCTAAATAACAGTGATGTAATTATATTATTGAGAGAGCAGTCATAGGACCACCCATCCGGAAGATTTGAGTAATTACCCCGTTATACTTAAGATGAGATTTTGACAATATCATTGAAAGGAACCACCCTCTCTCTCTCTCAACAATTAGAAATGATTGTATGGTTAAAGTAGTCAGCTGAATTAAATAAACAATAACCATCAAAGTTATCACCCTTTTTCTTCTGGAAATGAGTGAACGTCGTCTTGAAAAAAGAGAGGTTGTGAACTAACTACATGTTTATTCTACAGAATTAAATGATGAGTTTGATGGTAACTTTTCTTTGTTGCAGCTGATTTTCCCAATCATTTTGGTGCAAAGGAGATCATTGCTGGCTCTACAAAGTCAATTTTACGGACAAAACTTCATGAATAGGGAGAGTGTGAACTGATTACATGTTTATGCTAGATCACCCTCTGCTAGTCACTACAACCTTGACATGCAAAAGGATGCAATACAAAGTTGGAACCAACTAATCACATGCTTTACGTTGAAGTTAAAGCAAAGTTCTCTAGATTCCAATGTTGAATTCTCTCTTCATGAACATGGGGTACTTACACAAGAACTCAGAAACCAAAATGTCAGAAGTGGTTATAGGAAAAGAAAGCATGGTTACCACTGTAGGATAGTTCAACTGATGCTACATAAGTGTAATAAACAAGTATGTAGAGTATCGGTATAAGGTGCTTTTAACCCCATTACGTTCTATTGCTGTATGATTTATTTTCTATAGCCTCTTTGGAAATTCCATATGGGTTTTTCTTTTAATGGTATTTAGTTCTTTTGTGTTTATAACAAGTGGAGGAATCAACCGATCCTTTTTACAATTAGCTACAATTATTCTATTGCATTTTTAGCCTTCTGGGAGGTACAGAGACAAAATTTCCTTGTTTTCATGATTATGCCTTCTTTTTAAATAAGGAGCCAAATTTTCTGCCTCTGGTTAGTTGCTAGTGTGCAATATTTGAAAAACTGCCTGGGTCCTGCTGGATGAACTGGTCGAATATTTATGTGATAGAAAAACAAAAGAGATTACTTTGAAAGACCCTGATTTTAGAAGTTTGATACCTGTGATATGACAGTTCAACTGCACAACCTGATGAACAGTAGCAGAACAAGAAAACATACAAAGAGGTGTGAGTAATTTCTATTAGTAGAGGGCGGGTTGAAGTTCTTCAAAACAAATTGATTTTTTTTAAAAGCTTTATTAACTACAAAAATTGGAGGGGGCAACTGCACTTGCCAGCCTGCCAGGCCCTCCCTGGCTCCATCAATGTTGATGAACTGGAACAATATCCGACAGGCCACCCATTTAGTAAGAGAAGCTATGAACCATTTAAGAAGATCGGCATTTCTAGTAGTGAATCATTCGTTGAACGCTTTTGTATCTTATGTTATAATATTTGTCTTCCCATATTGTCTAAATATTTAAATATAAGTTAGTACATACATTTATGTCATCTTGACCTTACAGGTAAATAGCAGTTTGACCAGGATTGACTAGATGACCCATCCCACCCAATAACTTTTTCATGTTGAAGAACGCTCCGAATTCTTTTTAACTATTATCCAATACCATTTACCTATCAAAAAGTCAAGGTTTGAAGTGAGTATATCACTTTCACCATGATAACCAAGTAAGCCTAAAAGGTATCATATGCCTGATTGTATCCAAACAGAAGAATAAGGCTATGATGTTCTCAGCAGATAAGATATATAGAGGAGAGATAAAAGAAAATTTAAACCATAAATAAACCTACAAAGAAAGATGTGACCAAGGTATCCTACAACAACTCAAATGCCAGACGAATTGTTTTAACAAACGCCAAATTAAAACTAATGAGTATCTTACTGGCATATAAAATGCACCTCCACCATAATTTGATTGAGCAAACCCATTCCCTTGAGTGCCTTGATTCTGGCAAAATTATATAAAACAGAAAGATGCATACATGTCATAATCAAAGGCAAAAAATTAATAAAGCAATCACCCAACAATGTAGTAGAGCCGAAATTACAATTGATATAAGGTTATTTTGGATCTTGGTAGATGTAACTCTCTTTTTTGTTATGTTAATGTTATGTCAATATACTACCCATAGTTGTGAGATGTCCACAAAAAACATATAGAAGAACAATATTTTTCAATATGACATGATAAAACATAAAAGATCAAAAAGAACACGTCTGCAGAAAGTATAAAGGGGAAGGCCATATACTGGATGATGTTGTGCAATTTTGAAATCTCAAATACTAGACAGAAAAATGGATCTAACTGTCAAGTGCATGAAGCAACATTTGCAGCATGTTTCTGGTTTGGGTCAGGAATCTCCAGTAAAATGCTAGAATATCGATGCATCACACGTGTTATTTTACAAGACAAAACTAAGTTAATAAAAAAAATCATCAAAGTATTTAAAGTCGTACCAAAACAGTTGATCAGAGTTCTTGCTAATCAAACATTATTGTAATGCTATATCCTACAAACATCCACAAAGCTCTTTCTTGGTTCAATGGTTGATGGTGCATGACCATTCTTAGTTGGTGGGATGATTTATATGGTTAATGTTAAAGATTGAGACCAATAGACAGAAAGAATTTAGAGAGGAGAGAAGTCATGCAGTGTAATCAAGCAGAGGAGGAGAACGGAAAGTGAGAAGGAAGACAAGCATGTATGAATAAGAAAGTAGTGTAAAAAAGAAAGGAAAGAAGTAGGAAAGCAGAATGTCAAAACAGTAATTAATTGGAGAGCTAAAATGTGAATATTATATTTTTCAAGAACTACATACATAAGAGGTCCAACTATTGAAGCATTTTGTTTCCTTTTTGGACAAGCAAGTATTCAAAATCTTTAGAATAAGTATTTGGAATGATAAAAATGAGCCAAACTCTTCAACAGAACTAGCAGTTTCGTATTAAACCAAACTGAGTCAAGTTGGAGACACCTGATTTAGCTAATTCAAGCCCAAGTTCCTCTTTCTAGTTTAATAATTGGTATGCACTCGTTTATCCTGAATGCATGCACACATGCACCTAATTTGCACCCTGGATACGGCACACTAACTCAACTGTTGATGCTTCATATCCAACAATATCTGGATATGCATGACAGAAGCCATGCACACCAAGAGAGGCAATTAAGAGTTAGGCCAAAAGTTAGAAAGGGTAGAAATAATAATGAAGGAGATGATTGACTCGAGAATGACTATGGACACCTAAACAAAGATATAGAGGAACACAACTAGCATATCCAGCTGCACTGGGTAGGTTCTGAGGTTTAGAGACATCAGGAATCTCTCTCCTGTTTATTTACGCCTTCCAAAGGTCTATTGTCAACCCAATTGTTGGGGTATAGCACACCTAGTTAAGGTGCCTATTTTTGTTAAGAGTTCTTTGTGTCGGTTTTACCTTCCACTGCATTAAGCATGTCTACTCTGGTTTATGTTTAAAAACAGTTTGTTATTTGCTCAAGTCACTTCCACTAACATTTTGGCATCAAAGAGAGATATAAGGTTGCTCATGCACTATCAAAGATAGTGGCATGTTTCAGGAAAGAACCTAGTGCTAATGTGCTATGACCACATATATTCATTTTCTAAAAATCCAAATCAAGAGAAACTGTTTGGACCATATCTGAAGTTTTTAGAAAAATGTCAAAAATCTTACACTTTACACCCCTTAAGTTGAATGGTTGACAGACTAACACCTAAAATCACTAACAAGCTTGATTGTCTTACTTGTAGTGTTGCTATATTATTTTAAGCTTCAGAGATTTTCTGCAACGAGACTTCAGTTTGACTTTCAGAAAGTGTGTCAAATGTACAAAAATCATGACTTCCAGACAAAGCAGATTGAAGATTGTTTGATGAATTTATTGTTTTATCTCAAGTAAGTTCAAGCGATCTCACTGTGAAGAATGTTAATAGAGGCCTTAAAGTAAATTAATCTCTTTAATGGGTTTTTGAATTGGAAAAACGATAAAAATGGAACCACTTTCATATGCTTCCTATTTTGGAGAACCATCCTCCAGAAGCCCCATTGGTCTACAACAAAACATATCAAACATTTAAGAGACTTGGTAGCTGGTATAAGCATTAACCGGTTACCATTGCTAATGTGGATTTTCTTTTACTTGAATGCATGGAAATGGAAGATACTTTGGTCCAATCCTTATTTTCAGGAACCATCTTTCAAAAGCCCCATTTTGAGGTCTACAACAAGACATCTCAAACATTTGAGGGACCCGGTTACCAAATGCTTTATTATATTTCTTAATCTTTTTATCACTACTTGTTTCATTTACAGAAAGCGAATTTAGATAATGTTTGCTTCAACATTTAGGTGATCTTATTCCCCGGTTAAGGTTGCTAACAACATAAACCCTGGTGCACCAAGACTCCTCGACATTGCCAGGATGGAGGGTAGAAGCACTAGCTTGAGAATTTATTCCGTGTATGAAAAATTGCTGCACCTATTTTTGAAGGATGATATTTCTTTGCATTTCACAGACATTGTTTCTTTGACTCAAACCAATTGCTCCAAGGACCTAGGCCGACCCGTTTCTAACTGGATATAGTAAGCAACTATAGGTACCATTTTCTTTTTTAAGTTGGCATTAACAATTTAACACAATCACAAAGGGTACCCCAATTATAAATACTATCATCAACCACAATTAATTCCTAATGAGCTAAAAACCATCTATTAATGCTGCTCAAAACCACTACAAACAAAGTTCCAAGTGTTTGCATTGGCAAGTGGTTATTTGGTACACCAATTCTACCTTTAATGATCCAAATCAGATGGACAGCAGGAATTACGTAAATTTTATCTTCTTCCCCAATAACTATAAACCCCTCCCTCCAGATTTTGGATACTGCATTTTTATAGAAAAGCAGATTCAAAGAGACAATTGGGATTAAAAATTTAAGTTACGAATCAGGTGAAGAACACCGACAATCATATACCATCAATCTCAAGTCAAAACCCCAAAGACAAGATCCATAGATTGAACCACGCAGATCTGACAACAATTACGCACATAACTCATAAACCCATCATCATTCCACTCTAAATTTCACATAATTGAATAGAAAAGGAAAAACATAAACACCCAATTATCGATAAAGAAATTGGCATTACCGCAAATGGATTAAGTTCCTCTTCCTCGAATGGATTGGGATCGTAACGACTAGCCATGAGAGAAAAATGGGTTGAAAATGGAATGTGCGACAGATCTGGGATTTTAGAGAAGAAGAAAAAAGGGTTTCTAGTTGAAGAAGATGGGAAGCTGAATCTGTATACAAAATCGAATTATGGATCTGCCAGACTGTTGGGTTGCGTAGAATCAAGAATGGAAATTGCAAAAGGTTTTGGCGGGTGGCGACTAAAGAGGTTTACGGGGATAATACTTTTGAGATTTAAGCGTGAATTTAGTGAAACAAATTTCGGTTCACATAACAATTTTTTTAATTTTTTATTTAAATGTCAATATAGTATTGAAAAAATAAAAAGGATAATTGTACCAAAATGGAAACAATTTTCACCTGATTTTTATTTTGGAGAACCAACTTTCAAAATTGTCAGTTAGGGATCTCTATTAAACTTTTTTGTTTATTTAAGAGTCTGGTTGACCTGTTAATGCTGACATCATACAGATCTTTTGCCAACTAAATTATTCCACGTCATATTTTTTTTTTAAACTAATATTCTACGATATATTTAAAATAGCAAAATAATTATAGAAAAACTAGTTGTGTACCCGCGCAATGCGGCGGGAGCCATGAATTTTAACGATTTTGAAGTTCCACTGATTTTATAAGATAAGAATTAACGATGATATATGTTACACTTGGTCTTTACATATTAATACAATTTGAATAAATAAGAGTTATGGTTCCAATTATAGACTATCGATGAAAAAAATTGTATGACAGTTTAAAATCCAATATATTTAATCCAACATATTTAAACGACTCCACAAATGTGTTCGATTTACACCAAGAGCAAAGAACCAAGAAACTTGAGTTTTAAGATAAACACTCAAAACCAATAAAGAAAACTATAAATTTTACAGATCATAAGCCATGAAAAGACAAAAAAATATGGGTTTTAGAATGAAATTTCAACTGTTTACCCTCTTTCTTGTCTAGAAACTCAGATTAAGGTTGAATTAATACATGTATATATATATTTCAAAAAACCCAAGAACATATTAATTCAGTACATATTATATAGTGCAGTTTGGATAGCCTAACCCCAAAATATATAGTATATATATAAATAAATAACTATAAAAATATAAATCGTAAATATTAAAAATATTTTTTTACAGTATATATAATATATAAATACAATTTAGTCAAAAACTATTCAATATTGGACTCATTTCGAAKGTATTAACGAGRMGATTATAAWGGTGTAACTTGTTAAAATAAAAATGTATTTTTTAAAYATGTTTTAATTGATATACGATTATGTATGTTAATTTGATAAAGGTTTAAAATGAAACATTTAAAAGTAAAGGACATAAAGTAAATTAATTAATTAATTATAGAGGTATAAAGTGTAAATTTAAAATTATAATTTAAAAAAAATCGTGAGAAGGTGAGTGTATGTGAGAGAATGAGTGTATGTGAGGAGAGAAGGGGGTGAAAAAGTGAAAAAGTGAAAAAGTGAGTATAAAGGGTATTTTGGTCATTTAAAATTTTAAGACTTTAAGACTTTTGTTAAATTTGCTTAATAAGATAGTATAGATAACTAAAATTCATTTTTTTTCCAAAAATTATTGTAATAAAATCTATTTTTCATTCCAAATCTCGTTTTTTTTTTAAATCCAGATATCAAATTAAAGATTTTCTCAAAAATGAATTTCTTTACTCACAATTTGATATCTGAATTTTTTTTTTAAACGAGATTTGGAATGAAAAATAGATTTTATTACAATAATTTTTGGCAAAAAAACGAATTTTAGTTATTTTTCTATAATTATTTTGCAATTTTAAATATGACGTGGAATATTAGTTTTAAAATAAAAAAATTAATATGACGTGAAATAATTTAGTTGGCAAAAGATTTGGATGATATCAGCATTAGCAGGTCAACCAGACCCTTAAATAAACAAAAAATTTGATAGAGACCCCTAAATGACAATTTTAAAAGTTGATTCCCCAAAATAGGAATCAGGTGAAAGTTGGTTTCATTTTGGTGCAATTTTTCCAAATAAAAAATACAAAAGAACCCAAATTTTCGAGAAACAAATACCAAAGAGAGAATCAAAGCCCCGATAGTCACTCCTTCACTCACTTTATTTCCTTATTGATATGATGTGTCACGTGGTTCCTCGAGCGCCAGCCGCAGAGAGGAATGCCATCATAAAGTAGTTCCTCATTTCAGTGCTCACCCTTTAAATCTTTAGTAGGGGCCTTTAGTCTTTTGGTACCATTGCCCCGCCACTCCGCCTGTCTTCTTGTGGCCAGAGAATCTCACCCTCAATTTTTTTCCTTTAAGATAAGAAAAGCGTATCGGTGTTTGATGCAATACAAACACCCATGTTATTTGTTCTAGGATCTATATTTCTATTCCTGGACTCCACAGGAAATAAACAGCGAAAAAACAACAAAGGTCAAAAAAGGACTTGGATTAACGAGGGAAACTATAAGGGAACCTCAAGAGATAGCAAAAGAAGGTCAAACCATCTTTGAAATAGATCGATCTTTGCGTTTGAAGTTGTAAATTGACCCAAATAGTCATTTATCTTTCTTAAATTGGTCTTTTAACCATTTCTCTCTCATTTTACCAAAATGTTATTAAACTCCTCAATTCACGGAGAAATCAAAAACTAAAAAAATAAAAAATAAAAAGTTGTTAAACATGATTCACAAGTACAGAGACCAGATCTGCAATTTTTTCTATTTCCCCAATTAATGGACATACAAACATATTTAAATACTTATGAAGTACGTTCAAAAACCTTTTTTTTACTTTCTAATCTTCATGGCAAATTGAGGAGCTGTCACTTATGGGGTATTAGTAAAACACGACGAAGAAATTGCTAAGAGACCAATTTTGGAAAGAGATTCTATTTGGGTCAATTTCCCCTTAAAATGTCATATAAGAATTATTTATTTTTATATTCTATGTAATACCGGAATAATCCCAACAAATTATGATTACAAAAAAATCAGTTTTGATAAAACTCAGTAACCACAATTGTTGTGTTCGTCTGGAATCGAACATGAACAGATGAGATATTCCATCACATCCCATAGAATCTCAACCATTACACCACATTTGTTTCTCAGTTATTTACTTTTAGAAAACAATTTTGCATAATTAGCTTCTATCCAACAGTAAAATAAAATTATCTGTTTCGCTCTTTTTTTAAACCTAATTCGATATTAATATTTTTAATAGATATTTTTTGTCTTTTTTCACAAGTTTTTTGGTTGTTTTAGATGACTTGTCTTTTTGATTAAGACAATTTATTAAATATTCAACAAAATAATATTTATCTAACAAAATATATCATCCAAAATTTTTATAAAAACGATTAAAATAATATCGACATCAAATATTAAAAAAAAAATTGTAAGCTACTGAAAAAAGTAATGACTTTTTCACAACCCCTTAACCTTTACGTACACCAAATGTCATTGTAAAATCCGAATTATCCAGAATTTGAATCCAAATCCAAACCCGAACCGAAAATAAGGTATTTATGTAAAACTCAGATGCACTGAAATTCGAAAATCCGAAAACTGACTTTTTGGGAAAAATTCAGGTTCAGGTTAGGTTTGATTTTGGCCATTCGATCCGTCCGAAAACTCGATATATGTATATATATATATATATATATGTGTGTGTGTGTGTGTGTGTTACATACTATATAAATATACTTATTTATTTACTTATTTTTTTTAATTTTAAAAATTTTAGTTGGTCGTGTTTTTTTTTCTAATTTTTAAACATACCATCGATTTATCAATGATCTAAATCGATTGAATTCATCGTCAAAATCAATTTTATATATAGAGAGAGAGACGTTCAAATGAAAACCATGCAATTCTTAGAAACCATGTAAACTAATTTCGACTAATAGGAAAATTCCATTTTTTTCTAATTAAATTTAATCATTAAGGGTATATTGGTCATTTGCATTGTTTTCTATTAAATATGAAAGTTATTAATAAAACTTAATTAAAGTGACATAATAAAAGAAATTTTATAAATGGTAATATTTAAATATTTAATTAAATTATATTATTAAAAATTGTATTTTGTTATATTGTGTATCGGTTTATTATTGCCAAGATTCATAAAAATCGTAAGTTATTAGATTAATAAATCTATGAAATCAGTAATAGAAAAAAAATATTCATGAAACCGGTTTCATACATGAAAATGATTATGAAATTGGTGCATGATGAAATAGGTACAACATGAAATGGGTGCATGATGAATAGAGTGCATGATGATATGGGTGCGTGAACAATCTCATTGGACAAGTGAAACAGGGTGCATGATGAATAGGGCGAGGAATTTACCATAATAGGATGCATGATGAATAGGGTGCATGATGAAGATGTGATTGAGTTTACCATTTTGCCCTTCTCGCGATTATAAAATAAAAAATTTAATATATATTTTTTAATTTTCTAAAATAAACTAAACTAATCTTGATCATTGATCAAGAAAATTGATGGATGAGATTGGTTTACATGGTTCACACAAATGAGGGCGGTTTTCATTTGATCGCTTATATATATATATATATATATATATATATATATATATTGCATTATAACTAAACCCGAACCGACCGACCTTAACCCTGAAACCCGATCAACCTGAATCCGAAATCCAAAAATTGGGGCTTGATTTCCATTTCTGAAATCCGATCGGATTTTTGATTTTTCCAACCAAACCCGTCCTAACCCACCCGATGCACGCCCCTATGTTTAACAAGCATAAGGTAGTTTAGAGTATCTTTAGCGGAGGTTTTTGTAAAAACATATTCTTTTTACTTTTTCTTGCCACATCATTTGCAACTCAACAAATTAAAAACTTATATAAAACTGTAGAATAACAGTTCTCTTTTTGTGGGTCCCATGTTATTCTTTAACATCAATAATAGTTATATAAAAACTTTTGAAAATGTAATTAAAAAAGTAAAAAAATAAAAATAATAATAATATAAAAATATTGAAATGTCATATCATACAAAGTCCAACAGAGTTCTTGTACAATAACTCTAAGAATGCAAGTGTCTTGTGAAAGTCTTGAGTTTTTGCTTATAAGAACCTCTTACAAACTAACCTAATTTTTGAACTTACGACAGATACTGTGTTTGGATGGATGAAATGCTTATA